AAAATAAAGGCTACCAAGACAAACTGAGAATCTTTAGCAATTTATTAGATTTCTAAGAAATGACAAACAATACCTTTCACCACACAGTGTCTGAGTCTCTGTTGAAGAGAGTGATATTTTTCTCTTAAAGGAACCCTTATGTCCTCAGGATTAGGAAACGCTTTCACAAAAATTTCTGCTACCTTCAGAAAAATTAAAAAATGAATTTTATGAGCCATATCATTCTTAATTAAAATAAAATAAAAAATCTTTCCAAGTCTGCTTATGATTATGTTTATTTTCACCTACATTGATATTACCTTTCTGATTGGTGGCAGCTCTCCAACAAGGCTCAAAATTAGATCCTGAATAAGTTCTTCAATATTAAAAAACCGAGAGAAGGGTAGCATTCTATAAGCCCATTCCACTGCACTGAGACAGTGCTCAACCATACAAGAATCAAACTCCACTTCGAGGCCCTAAGTGGATATTGAGAAAATTCATTTCACTTAAGATGGACAGGCCAGAATGAGTTCAAAAGAAAATTTTGCTACAAACAGTAAAATCTATCAAGCAATAATTTCATGAGTAATGCTTGTTCATTTTTCTTATTCTTTGGCACATAAATACCTTCTTTCCCTCCACATGTTCTCTTGCTTTCTGATATTGCCTGCAACTATAGGATAACTTATCACGGATATGCAGCATCCAACACAAAGCACAAAGTTCTCTGAAGCAACCTAAGTCAGGAATACACATATGAAAGAAGATTGTTATGAGTATGTACATTAATATTATAACAACTTCACCACTGCTGCTTATTTTTTTCAAACTAAATTTCTTTATTTTGTTGATTATAAAAGAAACATATGCTCATTGTCAACACCTTATATAAAAGTTATTGAGAGCCTTCCAGAATTTTCATGCTTATTATTGTAGAATATTTTATGGATGTCATTTGCATGAAAATATTGAAAACATTTTGAAAGAGTAAATAACTTACTCTATAAACTAGTAAACTAGTTTACTTTAAACTTCACAATATATTGTAGATCTTTTCTAAACGAATACACAGCTCTACTTAATACTATATAGTTAATTTATCTGGAAAATCACTTATGGATAGGCATTTTTAAGTTTAAAGTTTTTCAATACTAAAACATAATTTCCAATATGAGACACTTATTGTTATTGAAAGCAACCCTAGTTCACAAAAATAT